TAAACCCTATTGAGAACTTGTGGGCCCTCTCAAATGGGAGATTTACGGTGAAGGAAAACAGTACACCTCTCTGAACAGTGTCTAGGAGGTGCACAAAAAGTTGATCGTCAACAGATCAAGAAACTGACAGACTCCATGAATGGAAGGCTTATGATTGTTGTTGCAAAGAAGGGTGGCTATATTGGTCACTGATTTTTTGTTTGAAATGTCAGAAATGTTTATTTGTAAATTTTGAGTTGTTTGTTTATTATTCTCACTTTAACAGATGAAAACGAGTGAGATGGGAATTTTTGTTTTTCATTTAGTTGCATAATAATTCTGCACACTAATAGTTGCCCAATAATTGTGCGCGCATAGATATGCTCCTAAGTAAGCCAAAATCTCACTTTTACTTTCTTAAATATTCGAGTTTGAGATTTATAAACATTTTGGATTGACTGAGAGCACTGTAGTTGTTCAATAATAAAATTCATCCTCAAAAATACAAGTTGCCTAATAATTGTGCACGCAGTGTATTTAACTAAACCACTTAGGATGTATACACTCAGCTGCTGTTGCAACTAACCTGTTTATAAACATTGTGTAAATACAACCAATCTGTTCCTGGGGGCTGCAGGGGAAAGATGTGGAGCTCTCCTGACTGCTGTGCCATCTAGAAAGAGAAAATAGCCTCTGTCTGTCTCACTGGCTTGAGCGGTGTTTAATGGCGTTAGTCTCCATCTTCTCACCTCTGCTTTCCTGCTGTATCTAGTGCCTGAAGATAATTTGTTGTCCAGTAAAACAGAATGCACTATCCAATATCTTTTCTTGCACTCAGGATGATTTCTACAGTTCTCATTTGCTGAACTACGTTTGTAGTAGTTGTGGGCATTTACCTTGCAGAACCCTGTTTTATCCTGATTTAAAAACAAGGGTGAATGATAATTCTGTATAAGATTCTAGTCTTGAGCCCAAATTAGACATGGGGTAATTCTACAAGGGAAAGCTGTTAGTGCTACTAAATGGAAAACACTGCTTCTATTTCTTCCTCTTATTACATTTTTTCATGGGGAAAAAAAATGAAAGAAATTGATTCCTCTGAAAATTCAATGATTGTAAGGCTTTTACCCAATAAAACTCTTACTTTGTATTTATGTGCCTGCTGTTGTTTTTAAGAATAATTGGAACTCTAATGAAGGAAGATTTAACTTTTCTTGTTCTACTCTGGTTTATTGTCCTTGCTGAGATCTCCTCTTGTCACCTCTTAGTATGTTAGGAGGATGGTTATCTTAGTATTGATAGAACTTTCCATCATAATGCCAACAGCAGTTGGACTGGAAGATTGATTAAAAAGGGAAGAGGTTTTGCTTCTCCTCTTTAATGCTATCCTATGCAGAAATATGAGAGCACGTGGGAAGGGACAGAATGTGAAAACAAGTATAAAAGACTTAAATGAGAGCATGGCGGTAATGTGGCTCTTCCTACATATCCTTCCCTCTTGGTTTCTGTACTACTGTATGATTAGATCAGGGAATACGGCCATGTTTTTTCTATAGTAAAATTGGATCTGCTTTTTAGAGGTTTTTTTTAACTTGGAATCACTGCTTAATTACTTTTAATGTTTTAGCTTGGGGTAGGTAAGCTTATTGGGCACAAATAATAAATTATAAGCATGGTTTGGCAAAGGACTTTTAGATGTGGTTCTGAGGAACAAAGTAGGAAGAGACTCCAAGTTGAACTTGACTCCTGGTGACCACTATCCTAGTTACTTTCTTAGTGACAACATGGAAGTAGTTTGCTTTTGCATTCAGCTCAGGAGAGTGGAACTTGATTTCAGTAGTACTTTGTTGAGAAACCACCAAGACTGTACACTGGACTGGAAAATATCCTGAAAGAAGACAGGAACAAAGCAATTCCATAATGTTGCTAAGAAAACTACATACAGTGGGGCAAAAAAGTATTTAGTCAGCCACCAATTGTGCAAGTTCTCCCACTGAAAAAGAT